CTCCAAAACCATCAGGACCAGGGGAAAAATCAACATTTAGATTAAACACAACCTTATGAATTTCCTCAGGACTAGGCAACATCAGAAACAAATCATTAGTTTGGTCATTAACTAAATTAGGTATCACATTTTGAATCAGGTCAGAATCCTGCAAAATAACATTAGAATTAAACAAGGTTTTAAAGTGGTTCTCAATATGATTCTCTAAGATTTTATGGTTAGTAACCACATGATCATTGATAACCAGAGAAGATATGAGCTTAGTTTTCCTTATAATCTTGGCATAGGTATGGAAATATATAGTATTCCTATCCCTATTCAAATGCCACTTAATTCTGGATTTCTCTTTCCATAATTCCTCTTCCATGTTAAGAGCAAGTTCCAGCTCATGTTGAGCTTTGGGTTCCTTATCCTGTAAGATATCATTATAACCAACACTATCTATCTCAGTTTGAATATCCTTAAGACTGTTCTCAATGCTGGTAACCTTATCCTGAATATTACCAAAAGTGTGCTAATTTCAATCCTTAAGTCTAGCCTTAATGATCCTGAGCTTTTTATCCATAATATATATAGGATACCCATAAAGCTTAACATTTCAAGTATCTTTAATCACCATAGCACAATCCTCATGCAAGGACCACATTGTAAGAAATTTAAATTGAGTTCTAGTGACCACTTTATCAAAGTTAAGGGAAAGCAAAAGGGGGGTAGTAATCCGATTTGACTTTAGAAAGAGTGTTACACACCATAGAATTACAAGCATCAATCAATAACATGTTTCTAATAACCATATCCAATTTTTTTTCCAGTTTTATTTCTAACTTTCATTCCATTACACTAGGTGAAAAAATTACCCTGGGTAGGAATATGAGTTAGATGGTTGGAATCAGTCCAATTAAAAAAAAAAATTATACGAGTTTTAGCAGGGATGTGCCTACCTCTATATTAATTAACACTCACAATGGCATTAAAATCACATATGAAGGACCAAAGAGTGTTGGGAGGGATATTACTAAGGGAGAACCATAAACTTCTTATAGACACCTAGTTAGTAGAAACATACATAAGAGAGAAACCTAAAGTGATGTTATGCATATCAATAATGAAAGGAACATGGTGACTATTAGTAAAAATAATACTAGGATCATAACTATTTATGCAGAAACACCAAAGGTTAGGTAACAAATCATTTCTATTGTTGCAAGCAAACAATTTAAGATCAAACCTGGAAAGCCAACCTTGGGGAAAGTTAAGAAAGCTCATCCAAGGCTCAACAACAAAAACAAAATCAGGAGAGTTATTAGCAATCAACTTCTTTAGGGAAAGCCTAGAAGCATTATTAACAATACCTCTAATGTTCTAATAGAGGCACTTCATTATGTAATTTTGAGAAAACTAGACTGAGGTCTAGTGTTGTCAACAAATTTAGCCTTCTTGTTCCTTTTCTTTTTAGAAGTAACCCGTTTGAAGTCTTTCTCAGGGAAAAGATCCACACCATTATAATCATCTTTTTCATTCTCTGCCATATTAGCCCAGGATTGATGGAGAAAATCCTTAATTTGCTTCTGATGAGTATGGTCTATTTGTGTCTCAGGAACAAATTCCATCATTTGAGTGGCATCTATGTATTCACTCTCCGACTTACTCTCTTCCTCAAGAGAAGAATCCGTATTGTAGTCAACTAAAATGTTATCCACCTTGTTCAAATCAGTATCCTGATGAGTAGAAGATGGCTCCCCAATAGGAATAGACAAGTCCTCATAACCATTAGAGAGCTCTTGAGTCTTGTCCACTAGATTAACATTAGAGGTGTCATTCTCATTTACCTTATTTGTGATAGGGACAAAATTACCTTTGTTATTTTTCTTTTCAAATTCATTTCCTTTGTTTAAGGTTAATTCTTTCCTTTTGCAAGTGGTGACTGGATGGCCAATGCACGAGCAAAAGTTGCAATACTCCAGAACTTTCTCATATTCCATATTAACAAAGAAGGCAAAACCAACCATTTCAACAAGGATTTTATAGCTAAACTGTTTAGTGAGATCCATATCAACAAGCACACAAACAAAATGACCAAAAGGCCTTTTAAAAGCATATTTGTTAGAAGCAGAGTCAATGAAAATAGGCGTATCAATACTGCCAGTAATAACAAATAAAATACAAAGCCTCCAATATTCCTGAGAGAGACCGTGAATTTTGATCCAAACCCGTGCAGAGGTTTGCTTTAGTGTTGAAGGGACAAAGTCCTTAGACCAAGGAAACAACTTTAAAACCTCTGCAGAAGAGACCATACACTGACAAATCGAACTCTATGAACATCTTCAAGCGAAGAGAAGGTGAACTCAAAAAAACCTTTTCCTAGAGAGGTAACTCCTCATTTACCTATCGACGACCATATTTCCATAAGCTTAGATTTCAAATTAACCACTGTAAGTGGTGAAGATCCTTTCGACCATACCACCCTATCGTAAATATGACGCTTACAAGCATCAACACCAAACTTGTATTCCTCTTCCAAGATTGTAATGGCTAGCCTCTCCCCTTTCAAGAAAGGCGCGAGGAGCTGGCTAAATGGAATATCACAAACATTGTTATTAACCACCGATGCAAAAGATTTGACAGAGACTTGAGGAAGCGGCGACTTTTGTTTATCTTGATATGAAGGGAATGAACGCGTTTCCGAGAAAAGCACGACGACTTCTATTGATTGAGAAGGTAGAAGAAGAAAAAAGAAAACATTTTAAAAAAGTAACCGTTATCAACAAATACTAGCCATTACCAGTCGAGACACTTGAAAGCATTTCTAAAAAGAAATTCTCCTTTAAAATTGTAAGTAAAAAGAATACAACCTATGACCTATTGTTGAAAAAGGATGAGAATGAAAGTGAACTTTTTTTTTATAATTTCTTTTGTGCTTCAAAAAAAAGGTCAAACTTACTTTTCACTATATATTTAGTTTTCATTAATCACTAATTGTGTGCAAGTCTTTCAATAGATACTAGTAGTAGACACAGTGTACAAGTCTACGTGTAATAACTCTACAAGCCTATTTCCTTCTTGTTCCTACACCCAAATAAACATGTACGAGAAATATCCAAAGAGTAAATGTAAAACAGTATTTTTAAGATATATTGCAATAAAAATCAAAATTCAAAGATATTAGTACTTGAGAGTATTTACTATACATATTTAACATCATAAAAACCTGTTTTACTAAAATAAAAGGCACCCTTATGTAATGTTTTCTGGATTTGAATTTTCGTAATATTTTATTAATTTAGATATGTAAATTCGAATGAATTCAATATTTTATTATTCAGTATTTTATTTTACACATTCGAATGAATTTCTATATTTTATTTTTAAGAGATTTTTAGATTTCATATTTAAAATAATTTAATATTTCATTTTCAAGAGATTTTTATATATGTATATTCAAATTAGATATATTATTGGAAATTAAAATTAAAATCTCTAATTATTATTAACTTTTTAAAATAATCGTTTATTAAAATAACATACTAAAAATAAATTATAAATTACAATAATAATTTTTATTTAAAATAAATTATTTAAACTTTAAAGTTTCTAAAACAATATCCTTTTAAAACTATCTCAAATTAAAATAGTAATTTTATCGCCGTCTCTTATGTTTTTTAATACAATTTAAATAAGTAACTAGAACAAACTTATAATATAAGCTTTATTTTTTAAACAAAGTAAAGAAATTATGCTTTAAAATATATAATTATTTCATATTTTGATTTAATTCAACTTAATTTAAAACTATAATTATTTATTTCTAAATATAATAAAAACAAATATGAAATAAATAATAGCAACACAATTATATGTATTTAAAATAAATATCATTTAGATTTAAAATAATTATAAATTAAATTTAAAATAAAATAAAAATAAAATTTAGATATTAAGTTATTTCGGATATGTATATAAGAGAACTCCTAAAATAAAATATTGAATTCTTTCGCATTTACATATTTGAAAACTATTTAAAAATAAAATATACGAGTTTGTTTGGATATGCATATTCAAAATTTTCATAGATTTTTTCCACTCATATAAGAGTATATTAAAAAATCCCAAATAAAATAATTATTTAAAATAAAATCTAAATTAATTAAATGATTCTTTAAAAGTGATACTTTTTACTCATATTTAAAAATAATATATATGATTAACATTTACTTTTTATAAAAGGTATTTTTAATATTTAATATTAAAAATGGAATAGAATCTTTTCATAAGAAAGGAGATTTAAAATTCAAATCCCATATAAAAAATTGTATAAAAAATTAATTAAATTAATCATATTATAATTGGTTCATATTAATATTTTTGATCTAAAAAAGTTGACACTTCAACTCCTATTAAATTCAGTTGGATAGATATTCATTATCCAATAAAATAATTTTATTGAATATTATATTATTTTAAATATCATTTTATTTTAAAATAAATAAAAAATTCAATTAATTTTACTAAAACTATTAGTATTCAATCAAAATTCATAGAAATTAAAAAAATTATTTGAAAAAAACGATGATGTTTTAGCCCAAGATTCATAAGCTTATTAAAAAAATAGAGAAAATCTTTAAAATCAACAAATTATAAAAAGATAATTTTTTTTTTGATTAAATTGTTTAATGACTGAAATTCATCTTTTAAATATAAAGAAATCAAAATCGAATCTTACATATTCAAATCTCAAATTTTAAATATGATATTATTTTACAACTATCAACTAAACCGATTTAATAAAACAAATAACAAAAATCTTAAAATTAAAATTTTATTTATCGAAATAATGAAATTGTAGTATATGGCAGAGGTAGAGTCAGTTCCACATGAAAGCCTTAATTGACATGATTTCCAAATTAATAAAAAAAACATTTAAGGAAATATATTAAATACTAGTTGAACACCCTAAAGTAAAAAAGAAAAGAAAAAGAAACTGATGGTAAATGTAATGAATAAAAAACACAAAAGGTTTCGTTCTGTTAAAGCCCACAAGCGAACTTGCAAAGCGGGAGAGAAAAACACGAAGATATATCATATCATTTATATTCAGAGAGAGAAGAAGCTTCAGATACAAACGATTTTTCTCTTCTATTCATTCGTCAAAAAAGAGTCTCTTAAACACACAATTTTCTTCTCCACCCATACTTTTCTCGATCTGTTCTCCGATTACCACCACCACCACCACCGATTTTTATCCGATCCGTAACTTTTCCTTTTCTCATTCGTTTCTCGGTAATTTTCCTTTCTTTCTTCTTCTTCCGCGTTGTGTTTTTCTGTTACTCTTTGGTTAATTTGTTATCAAACTTCGCGGTTTTACGTCCTTTTGACGTTTGCGAATGTGTTGGAGGTTATAAAACCCTACATTCGGTTTAATTGACTAGTTTTTTTTGTGTGTGTTGTGAATTTATGGAAATTAGGGTTTTGAGTTGGAACTGCGGGATTGTGGAAGGAGAATGAGCATTAATAGTCCTGGCGAACGGATTGATTAGGGTTTTCAAGGTTGAGATTCTGGAGTTGGAGATTGCAATGGGCGATGGAGGCGTAGCGTGTATGCCTTTGCAGCAGCAACAACAGCGTGTTATTGAGAAGTTGTCGAATGCGGCGGCGGCGGAGGAAACGGTTTGTGGAGGGAAGACTGAGAATGGTGTCAGTTCTGAGTTGGTTAAAGCTCCTGAGAAGAAGAAGGTGATAAAAGTGAAAAAGGTGAAGAAGATTGTGAAAAAAGTTAAGAAGAAAGTTGTGCCGGTGAAGAAGAAGGAGGGTGTGAATGTGAAAAAAGAGTTGGCGTTAGATATAGTGAGCAGCAATGGTGTCGACAGTGGCGATATATGCGGGCAGAAGGAAGAAGTTGAAGAGGGTGAATTGGGGACTTTGAAGTGGCCCAGGAGTGAATTGGAGAATGGAGAGTTTGTGCCTGAGAAGCTGCTGCCGTCGTCACCACCACCACCACCACCACAACCACAGAGTAATGAAATTGAGAATGGGGATGTTGTCACTGAGAGGTGGAAAAAAGTGCAGGTGGAGAAGGGTGAGGTTGACATTTGGAGAAAAAAGGAGATAGTTTCTGACAAGGGCTGGAAAGGTGAAAATGAGAAAGGGGCATATGGGTCATGGAGAGGTGGTATAAGCAGTGACGTTGAGAAGGGAGAATTCATTCCGGATAGGTGGCATAAGGGAGACACAGGTCAGGATGACTATTATGGGTACGGTAGAATCAACAGGTATGAGTCATGTCGGGACAAAGGGTGGAAAACCGAACGTGACTGGGAATGTACATCATCTTCTGGGAGGTATGCAGGTAATGATTTTTTCAGGAAGAAGGAATTTAATAGAAGTGGGAGTCAGCAGGTTAAAAGTGCATCCAGGTGGGAAGGTGGACCAGAGAGAAATATAAGGATCAGTTCAAAAGCTGCGGATGAAGAGAAAAATGAATACAATGGTAGGATACATGCACGGGAATATTCTTCCGGAAGTCGTTTGAAGAGGCATGGCAATGATTCAGACGGCTGGGAGCGGAAGCAGTATGGAGATTATGCTGGTTTCAAAAGTAGAAGGCTATGTGATGATGGCTCACACCATGTCTATTCAGACCACCATGTTTATTCAGAGAATCATTCTCGCCATTCTGTGGAGAGATCTTACAGAAATAGTTCTTCAAAGTTGTCTGCCGATAAGTATTCTTCTAGGCATCACGAATCTTCTTTGCCCACCAGATTAGCTTATGATAAACATGGATGCAGTCCTCGTCATTCTGAACGATCCTCACATGATCGAGCTAGATATTATGATAATAGAGATCACACTCCTGCTCGTCGGTCACCCTATGGCCGTGATAGATCTCCATATGGCCGTGACAGATCTCCATATAGCTGTGACAGATCTCCATATAGCCGTGACAGATCTCCATATAGCCGTGACAGATCTCCATATAGCCGTGAGAGATCTCCATATAACCGTGAGAGATCTCCATATAACCGTGAGAAATCTCCATATAACCGTGAGAAATCTCTGCATGGTCGTGAAAGATCCCCATGTGATAGGAATTGGGACAGAAGTCGTAACCGTGACCATAAATTAAGAAGTCCCATTCACGCTGAGCGGTCCCCACAAAATCGAGGTCGGCATCATGGCTACAGGGACCGAACTCCAAACTTGATAGAGCAATTCCCACTTGATCGAACTAGACAAAATAATGATCGAGAAACAAGTAATAAAACCTTATCAACTGAAAAACATAATTCACAATATAGCTGTAAGAATCCTGAAAACAAAAATATTCAAAAGGAGCCTACTCTTTCAGGTATAGAATTGCAAGGGGAAAGAAGTGTTCATGATGCCAATGGGCCTGTTGTGAAGGGTGTCTGCAATGAACCCGAAAAGGAACAAGAGTCCTGCAGGCCAGCTACAAACTGCCAAGATTCTCCTTGCTTGCAGCTACCTACTGAGGAGCTGCCTTCTATGGTAGAAGATATGGAAGAAGATATGGACATATGTGATACTCCTCCACATGTTCCTGTGTTTGCTGATTCATCATCAGGAAAATGGTTTTACCTTGATTATTGTGGTTTGGAACATGGTCCTTCTAAATTATCTGACATCAAGGTTCTTGTTGACGAGGGTCTACTAATGTCGGATCATTTTATTAAGCACATAGACAGTGACAGATGGTTAACTGTTGAGAATGCAGTATCACCATTGGCAGCTCAGAGTTTTCCATTGATTGTGTCAGACTCCATAACCCAGCTTGTAAATCCACCAGAAGCTCCTGGTAATCTTTTGTCAGACACTGGAGATATTCTTCAATCTGGACCCAAGAATGATCAGGAAAGGCAAGCCCCTTCCCTACAGTCAATTTTATACCCTGATGACAATATGCTTGCACCTGAACCGTTGGATGACCTCCATTTTGATGAAAGGGTTGGTGTTCTGTTAGAGGGTTATGATGTCATTCCTGGAAGGGAGCTTGAGGCAATAACAGGTCTTTGCTTCTGTTAACGATATTTGTGTGGATTTCTTTTACAAAATAAAAACATATTTTAATATCATGCTGTTCATTGTTCCTTATTTACTGCTATATCTTATCTTTCCAATCTTGTTTTTTTTGTTGTCTTGTAGAAGCACTGCAAATGAATTTTGAATATGCAGAGTGGGACGATTTGGGAGGCTTCAAAGGTATGTAATTGCTGTACAGCCTAATGGTTCATTTAGGAATTATGATTGGTATTTTTTTATCTAATGCTGTTATGTGGCAATTAACAAGTTTTACTTAGCTTTACTTGGCATTAAATGGTATGATATGTAAAAAAATGGTTTTTATTTTAATATTGTTTTTTAATTGTTTTGGACTTTTGGCCCACCTAGTGAGGGAAGGCTTTCATTTTTGTTTTTTTATTGATTTGGCCTTTTTGGTATTGTTAGATGATACTTGCCAAATATCGACGTTTGTTGAGAGTTATCCTTTACTGGATGTCCTGGCTTGATTATCAGAAGGTGTCTTCTTGTAGTTTCTTAGCTGGTTTCACACTGAGTTGACTCAGCCCCCATCCTTTGACACTGAAAAAAATTATAACTTTTTCTAAATGCATCAATTGGACGCACACTATAATTTTGAAGTAGTATGTTTTCAAACAAATGCATGTGGAATATATGGAGTTGATATCTGTTGTGGAAACTGTTTTAAATGGTCTATATAACACTTTAGTGGTCATTTATAATATATACGGTAATTTGCAAATAATTTGTTTTAGCTTCTCTATCCTTTTGTTTGCTTGCATGAGTTAAATATTTCTTTCAGTTGAACTACCAATTTGAATTGTGCTCATTCTGTCATCTTAGGTGATTTAGTGTTCTGCTTCAGCTTTACAAGTAATATGGTGGTGGCATAAACTTTTATACATTTTTATGCTGTATGTAGATCACCTGCATAATAAGATAACATGTTTTGACTTATTTTTAAAATAATGCATTTTGATGTAAACTAATGATAACTTAAAATGGCAATTTCATTCATCTTGTTATGTTCCCAAAACTAGTTCTTCCATTGATGTTTATTTGTCATCTAAAAAGTTAATAAAGAAAGTGACACTTTGAGGTTTGCGTTCCATGAGACCATGACAAGTATTCTTCTTTCTTTTTCTTCAGGTTTTCCTGAGCCTGATACTTGCCAGAGCATGGACCATGATTCAAAGATTGATTTTGCATCAAGTGAGCAAGACTCCGACAAGGATAATGGCTTTACCCTTGGTGTTCCTGATGACTGGTTTTCTGCTCGCTGGTCATGCAAAGGTGGTGACTGGAAGAGGAATGAGGAATCCCAAGATAGATATTCTAAGAAGAAACTGGTCCTAAATGATGGGTTTCCTCTATCTCAAATGTCTAACTATGGATGTGAAGATCCTCGGTGGTCTCGGAAAGAAGACTTGTATTATCCATCTCACAGTAGGAAGCTTGACATTCCTCTTTGGGCTTTTTGTACCGATGAGTTGGTTGATTGCAGTGGTACTGTGAGTAGACCAGTTCAAAGCAAGTTTGTTTCTGTTAGAGGAGTAAAAGGAAATGTTCACTCAGTGGTCAGGATAAATTCATGCGTGGTCAAGGACCAGGGATCATTGGTCTCTGAGTCACACCACAAGACCCAAGGCAAGGATAGATATCATTCAAGGTCAGCCCGGCCTTTATCATCAACCAGGGATAGCAAGAGATCATCATCCGAAGAAGATTCACAGTCAAAAACTGTTATTGATCAAGGTTCTCAAGGCTATTGCAAGAGTGTAGAATCCATTAATATTTCTCAAGACCATCTCTGTGCCGTCCATGACTTGCAGCTGCATTTGGGCGACTGGTATTATCTTGATGGTTCGGGGCGCGAAAGAGGGCCGTCGACGTTTTCAGATCTACAGTCTTTAGTAGACCAAGGAATTATAAAGAAGTATTGCAGTGTGTTCAGGAAATGTGATAAACTCTGGGTTCCTGTTACATCTTCCACAGAAACTTTGGGTGTCCATCGCAAGAGCCACCAAGAAAGCAGTTCAGTGTCTGGTGAATTTTCAGAACATCGATCAGTGCAATCTCAAGGTGTTTCATTTGGTGAACCCCATTCAAAGTCAAATATGTTTAACAGCATATACCCCCAGTTTGTTGGTTATACTCGCGGGAAACTACATGAATTAGTAATTAAATCATATAAGAGCCGGGAATTTGCTGCAGTAATAAATGAGGTTTTAGATCCTTGGATCAATGCAAGACAGCCAAAGAAGGAAATTGAGAAACAAATATATTGGAAATCAGGTAA